AGACATAAACCTACAAGAAATCTAGGTTGATTATCAGAATTATGGGTCAATGAAACTTATTTTAACAGATTGCTTAGTCATCATCATCATGGCTAGGCTTCGCGAACGAAGGTTTGGGAAGAGCACTACCCACGTTTGTTGCAAGAGCGTTGGTGGCTAAAAAAGCCAGTACGAGATAGACACGTCCAGTTGCAAAAGGCACAGCAGAAAGACTCCTTAGGTGGTATATTCTGCAAGGCACGATCCTTTCTGCGTTGCCTTTTGTCCTCAAGAGTGATCCTGCGTGATTTCTCAAAAGCATCAGCAGCGTTGAAGACAGTGTGTCTCCAGACCTCCTGATTGGAGGCCAGAGTAGACCAGTTATGGTGATCAATATGGCCAAGGCTGAAATGTTGTATCTTCTCTTTGGGGCACCTCTCTTGCGGCAGCCAGTGACAAGTTCACCATAAAGCAAGATCTTAGGGAGGCAGTGGTCCGTCATCCTTGAGACGTGCCCTGCCCAACGCAGCTGTGTTCTCAGCAACATGGCCTCAATATTTGTGACTGCTGCCTGCTCTAGAACAGAGGTATTGGTCACATAATCTGACCAGTGGATGTTTAGGATTGAACGGAGGCAGTGTTGATGGAAGCGTTCTAGGAGACGCAGGTGGTGGCAGTAGATGACCCATGATTCAGATCCACATAAGAGAGTAGACAGCACTAAGGCTCTGTAAACATTGATCTTTGTACTTTTCTTCAAGTGTTTATTTCACCAAACTCTCTTATGAAGCTTTCCAAAGGCACTGTATGCCTTTGCTAACCTGTTGTCTATCTCCCCGTCAATCTTGCCATCCGAGGAGATGAGGCTACCTAGCTAATTAAACTGCTGGACTGATTTGAGCTCTGATTGGCCAATGGTGATATGGGGATGATGGAAGACCTCCTGAGGTGCAGGTTGATAGAGAACTTCTGTCTTCTTTAAGCTGACTTCCAACCCAAAGAGCTCAGCAGCATCTGCAAAGCAGGATGTTAAACACTGCAGAGCTGCTTCTGTGTGGGCGACAAGGGCAGCGTCATGAGCACTCCCGGACAAGATGGTTTAAGGTCTTAGTGTGGGCCTTCAGTTGCCTTAGGTTGAAAAGGCTTCCATCAGTATGATATCGAATGTAGATACCGTCCTGATCATCAAGGTTTGCCATGGCCCTTTGAAGCATCGTGCTGAAAAAGTCTGTGAATAGGGTAGGAGGGAGAACGCAGCCTTGTTTCACACCATTCTTTATTAGAAAGGGCTCAGAAAGTGCGTTGCCGTATCTGACTTGGCTGTGCTGATCCTCATGGAGTGAGATGATCATTTTAAGGAACTTTTAAGGAACAACCTAAATGTTCCAAAATCTGCCATAGACCTTTTCTGCTCACAGTATCGAAAGCCTTGGTGAGGTTGACAAAGGTTACATAGAGACCTTTGTTCTGTTCCCTACACTTCTCTTGCAGTTGTCTGAGAACAAATACCATGTCTGTGGTGCTCCTTTTGCTCTGAAACCACACTGACTTTCAGGTAGAATTCCTTCTGCTATAGCGGGTATTAGTCTGTTCAAGAGTATTCTTGCCAGGATTTTGCCAGCAATGGAGAGCAGAGTAATACCATGGTAATTTGAGCAGTCTGATTTAATTCCTTTCTTCTTATATAAGGCGATGATGACTGCATCATGAAGGTCGGATGGTAGTTCGCCTAGTTCCCAACAGCGCACCACAAACTCGTGAAATTTAGCATGGAGTGCAAGGTCCCCATGTTTCCAGATTTCAGGTGGAGTTCCATCAACCCCAGCTGCCTTGCCAATTTTCACCTGCTGTATGGTCTTGAGGATTTCTCCCAAAGTGGGTGCAGTATCCAATTCGTACTTCACTGGTTGTTGTGTGATGGACTGAATTGTTGAGTCTTGGACTACACGGTTGGTACTGAAAAGAGTCTGAAAGTGTTCAGACCATCGATTCAGAATGGAGGTTTTATCTGTTAGAAGCGTTTGACCATCAGCGCTGAGTAGAGAGCTTTGGACTTGGTATGTAGGCCCATATGCTGTTTTCAAGGTCTCACAGAATCCTTTATGATCACCCATATCTGTGTATAATTGAGTTTTTTCAGCTAGATCTATCCACCACTTGTTCTGGATGTCACGAGGTTTCTGTTGGAGCTTGCTGCATGCAAGACGAAAGGCTGTTTTTCTTGCGTGACAGGATGGCAGTGCAAGGTGTGCTTGGTGAGCGGTTCTCTTCTTCCTCAAAAACTCTTGGATCTCTTGTTTGTTTTCATCAAACCAGTCCTTGTTCTTCTTGAAGGAGAACCCTAAGGATTCTTCAGAGGACTGCAGGATGCTGGTTTTAATATGCTGCCAAATCGTTTCAGGAGAGGAATCTGTAGAATCTATGGAATGGTTTTTGAGCCTAGTTTGAAGATTTGCCTGGAATCTGTCTCTCACTGTGGCTGATTGGAGATTGTTAACTTGGAGTCTTCCCCTTGGGATACTGCCCCTTCTAGGTTTGAATTTAAGACTGAAGTTAAGTTTGCAGCGCACAAGCCGATGGTCTGTTTGGCATTCTGCACTGGGCATCATGCGAGTATGGTGGACATTTCTCCGTTGCACCAAGACATAATCAATGGAGGTGCCAATGCTTAGATCTGGGATGCATCCAGGTTGTCTTCAGACTATTTTTCTGCTGAAAGATAGTATTAGTGATGGTGAGCTGTTGCTCCGCACAGAATTCTAGTAGAAGTCGACCATTATCGTTGCAGTTTCCAACACCATGCTTGCCTAATATTCCTTTCCAGGCTTCAAAATTCTTACCTGCTCTGGCATTGAAATCACCTAGGATAATGATCTTATCATCTGCAGACACCTTTTGGGTAAGATGGCACAGGTAAGTGTAAAATTATTTTTTTTTCAGCAGGGTCAGCTTGGAGAGTTGGGGCGTATATACTAAAGAGGACAACGTGTTGCTTGTTGTGTAGTGGAAGACATAGGGAGATAATGTGGTCAGAGTGATCTGTCGGCAGATTTTCGAGTTTAGGAACAATAGAGTTTTTGATCATGAAGCTGACTCCTGAGGGATGTTTTTCAGTTCTGGGTTTTCCTGACCAAAAGAGTGTGTAACCAGCACCATGTTCTCTGAGGCTGCCTTCCTCGTGAAGGTGAACTTCACTGAGAGCAGTAATGTCAATGTTGAGATGAGCCAGTTCATGGGCAGTTAGGGCAGAACGATGCCCTCAGGATGTCCGCTATCCGCAGAATCGAGCATGGTTCTGATGTTCTAACATGCTGGAGTTAATTTAGGTACACCTTTGGAGGCAGGTGCATGCCTTTGTCTTTTGATCTTTGTGTGACCGCATTGGAAGAAGATGCCCATTGGCCTGTGGTTAACCAACCGGGTGAAGGTGGAGATGAGTTTTGTTTAGGCCACCTTTTCTAGGCCCCTCTCCCAGTGGAGCAAGCAGTGCTGTCCTTGAAAAGGCTGCTTGGTCGTTCAGGGTGCTGTCCCAAGAGACTGTCATCTCCAGTTAGTCTCAAATGACCAACATCCTGACCTGCCTGCATGCAGGGTTGGGTCTGCGGCTTCCAGTGCACCTTTCACCTGCCATTTTGACCCTCGCTCATCGCTACAGGGCTTTGTGATTTTTTTTAAGGTGAGATGCAGTATGCACGGAACTTAACCCACCTTTTAATCCTAAGGTTCATTTGCCAGGGCTGAGCAAGCTTGGACGGTGGCAGCAAGATCCTCAGTACATAGGTTTAATTAGAGTGACCTTCTCTTAGATGGATGGCCTTACAGGGCTAAGCGAGCTCCGTCTGCCTGGGTTTGGGATTAGAGTTGTCCTTCTCCTAGGATGACTGTCAGAAGGTTAACGAGCTCCTCCTGCCCAAGAATGTATTGTATCTGGCCCTATGATTTTGACCTGTTTGGCATGGGCAACCCTACCGAAGGCATGTACCATCGCCAGCATAGCTCGCAATGACATAGGGGTACTGTGCTGGTTTAAGAGTTAACCAGCAGGGGAAATGAACTCAAAGGAGAGATTATAAATCAGAATAACAATTTATTAAAATAATACAGTAAGTACAATCATACAAACAAACAATTGGTCTTAACCCACAAAACCCAAATGTATAACCCAGTACCCTGGGGCATGAACAAAGTGGTGTTCCTTGGGCCCTGCTTGAGTCCAAAGGAAAGGGAGAGGGGAAAAAAAAACCTGTTGGTGGGAGAGCTGTTGCAGTCTGGTCAAAAGTGGTGATTGCAGTCCAGTTGAGGGTGGTGGTCTAAGTCTGGTTGAGAGCGACGAGCTGCAGTCTTCCTCTGGATTCCACGAGTGGTTAAAAATGTTCCAAGACTCTAGGATTATATATCCTCCAGTTCAGGCAGGAATTCCCAGTACTTCCCTCAGGGCGGGGAGTTCCACAAAGGGTCTGAGGACAAGAGCATTCTCCTATCTCGCAGGCCTCTTAACACCTAGTTTATAGCCTGAGGAGTCAGGCTCTATGGGCAGAGGGTGTGAATAGTCTATTGACAACAGTTTCTGGGAAATGGCATGGAAGGCTATAGAATACACAGTTTCGGGTTACACCCATACCATGATGAACTGGTCTCAGCTGTCCTAACTAGGACAGGTACACAGGCTTCATGCCTATTAGAATGATTTGGGCAAGTCTTTAATTTCCCACTTTACTTTACTATCACCTATCTATATACAATCTCAAGGACATACCCAGGAACAACCCTTTGTCCTGACCACCCTGTCAGGATGTAACAGAGCAAAGCAATTATACCCAGAACATGCTGAACCTGGACAGTAGCTGCAGATGAGCCAAAAACAAACAGACAAACCGTTCTGGCCCCCGTACCCATCCGAGGCTGGGGTGCCTTTCAAGGCCCCTACCAGGCTGTGACCCCCATCACTCTAAGAGAACCCACTATCCACCCTGACCTTATCCTTCCCCGACTGTGTTACCACATATCTTCAGGTGCACTGCTCACCTGCGACATTTTGTACAGGATTGCTCTGCTTGCCCTCCTGCCAGTCTGAGGACCCCCATGGCCCGCTCGACACCCTTCCCCTCCCCCAAACCTGGAACGGCAAACCTCTGTGTGCTCCGAAGTTCCCCTCTCCTTTTCCACAGGGGTGCAGTACCCACCGGTGAGGCTCCCCCTCTCTCTCCTTTCTCCTGCCGGGGCCAGGGCAGGCGCCGATCGTGACCACACCCGGGGGCTGGGGTCCCTGGAGCTCCACAGGCATGCCGCGGGGGCTTCTGGGGTCCCCGGAGCTTAGTAGCACAGCAGCAATAACCATTGAGACTACTTGTAAAGCACTGAACTGCATATCCCTTTTCTCTTTTACAAGCAGTCAATTCCATAAGTTATTCCACCAGGTATTTTGAAGCATCTATTCATTAGAAGTAGAAATAAGAACACCATTTGACTCATTAGAAGCTATGCCTGTAATTTTCAAAAACCTGAGCCTAGAGCTGGTTCTAAAGATCTTCTCTAGGCCATCTGGGTTTAATGGAGAAAACCCCAAGCACAATCAAACTGCAAACCCCTTTAGAATCCAGTATGAGTTCATAGAATCATAGAATCATAGATTCAGTTGCGTTGGAAAAGACGTCCGAGATCATCAAGTCCAACCCTTGATCCACTACTGCTGTGGTTACTAGACCATGGCACTAAGTGCCACATCCAGTCTCTTTTTAAAAATCTCCAGGGACGGAGAATCCACCACTTCCCTAGGCAGCCCATTCCAATGTCTGATTACTCTCTCTGTAAAGAAATTCTTTCTAATGTCTAACCTAAACCTCCCCTGGCACAACTTGAGACCATGCTCTCTTGTCTTGCTGATAGTTGCCTGGGAAAAGAGACCAACCCCCACCTGGCTACAACCTCCTTTCAGGGAGCTGTAGAGAGTGATGAGGTCTCCCCTGAGCCTCCTCTTCTCCAGGCTGAACAACTCCAGCTCTTTCAGCCTCTCCTCATAGGACTTGTGCTTGAGTCCCTTCACCAGCCTAGTTGCCCTCCTCTGGACCTGCTCCAGCACCTCAATGTCCTTCCTGAACTGAGGGGCCCAGAACTGGACACAGCACTCCAGGTGTGGCCTCACCAGCGCTGAGTACAGGGGAAGAATCACTGCCCTGGTCCTGCTGGCCACGCTGTTCCTGATCAAGGCCAGGATGCCATTGGCCTTCTTGGCCACCTGGGCACACTGCTGGCTCATGTTCAGCTTCCTGTCAATCTAAATTCTAAGGCCATTTCTGCCTGGCTGCTCTCCAGCCACTCTGTGCCCAGCCTGTAGCGCTGCATGGGGTTGTTGTGGCCAAAGTGCAGGACCTGGCACTTGGCCTTGTTGAACCTCATCCCGCTGGAATCAGACCATCTCTCCAGCCTGTCCAGGTCCCTCTGCAGAGCCCTCCTGCCTTCCAGCTGATTGACACTCCCCCCCAGCTTAGTGTCATCTGCAAATTTGCGGTTGGTGGACTCAATGCCCTCATCTAAATCATCAATAAAGATATTAAACAGAACTGGGCCCAATACTGATCCCTGGGGGACACCCCTAGTGACCAGCCGCCAACTGGATGCAGCACCATTCATCACCACTCTCTGGACCCGACGATCAGCCAGTTCCTAACACAGCACAGAGTGCTCCTGTCCAAGCCGTGGGCTGACAGCTTTTTCAGGAGAATGCTACGGGAGACAGTGTCAAAGGCCTTGCTGAAGTCCAGGTAGACCACATCCACAGCCTTCCCCTCATCCACCAGGCGGTCCACCTGGTCATAAAAGGAGATCAGGTTGGTCAGACAGGACCTGCCCTTCCTAAACCCGTGCTGGCTGGGTCTGATCCCTTGTCCATCCTGTAGATGCTGTGTGATTGCACTTAGGATGATCTGCTCCATAACCTTGCCAGGCACTGAGGTCAGGCTGACAGGTCTGTAGTTTCCTGGGTCCTCCTTCCGGCCCTTTTTGTGGATTGGCGTGACATTTGCCAACTTCCAATCATCTGGGACCTCCCCAGTGAGCCAGGACTGTTGGTAGATGATGGAGAGAGGCTTGGCGAGCTCTTCTGCCAGCTCCCTCATGACCCTAGGGTGGATCCCATCTGGTCCCATAGACTTCTGAGGATCCAAGCAGCTCAGCAGGTCACTAACTGTTTACTCCTGGATTACAGGGGGGGTATTCAGATTCTTATCTTTGTCTACAAGCTCCAGAAGCCAGCTGTCCTCAGGACAACCTGTCTTCCTGTTGAAAACTGAGGTAAAGAAGATGCTAAATACCTCAGCCTTTTCCTCATCTTTGATGATTATGTTCCCCCCCATGTCCAATAAAGAATTGAGGTTTTCCTTGCCCCTTCTTTTCCTATTGATGTGTCTGTAGAAGAACTTTTTGTTATCCTTCACAGAAGTAGTGAGATTAAGTTCAAGCTGTGCCTCTGTGCCTCTAATTTTCTTCCTACATGACCTAACTATATTCCTAAACTCTTGGTGAGTAGCCAGCCCTTTTTTCCATAATCAGTAGGATCTCTTTTTTACCCCAATTTCCTTCAAAACCTCCCTGTTCAGCCAGACTGGTTGTCTTTCCCGCCGGCTGGCCTTTCGGCACACTGGGACTGCCTGCTCCTGTGCTTTCAAAACTTGCTTCTTGAAGGGTGTCCATCCCTGCTGGACCCCTTTGTTTTCAAGGGCTTTTTCCCAAGGTACCTTCTGAACCAGTCTTCTGAATAGGCCGAAATCTGCCCTCTGGAAGTCCAGCACAGAGGTTTTATTGATGGCCCTCTTTGTGTCCCTGAATATTGAAAACTCTATTATTTCATGGTCACTGTGCCCCAGACGGCCTGTGACCACCACGTCTCCCACCAGCCCCTCTCTGTTTGTGAACAGCAGGTCTAGCGGGTCCCCATCCCTGGTAAGCTCATTTACCAGCTGGAGCAGGAAATTATCCTCTATACACTCTAGGAATCTCCTAGACTGCCTCTTCTCTGCTGTGTAGAGCTCCCAGCAGACATCCAGCAGATTACAGTCATCCAGAAGAAAAAGGGCTGGCAATTTTGAGACATCTGCCAGCTGCTTGTAGAATAATTCATCACCCTCATCATCCTGATTGGGTGGTCTGTAACAGACTCCCACCAGGATGTCAGCCTTGTTGGCCTTCCCCCTGATTTTGATCCATAGGCACTCAACCTTATTTTTACTGACTTCAAGTTCTACAGAGTCAAGAGACTCTCTAACATATAGAGTCACCCCTCCACCTTTCCTACCTTGCCTGTCCCTTCTGAAGAGCCTGTAGCCACCCATGGCAACACTCCAGTCATGCGAGTCATCTCACCATGTTTCTGTGATGGTGACTACATCATAGCTTTCCTGCTGCATGATGGCTTCCAGTTCCTCTTGTTTGTCACCCCTCCTGCATGCATTGGTGTACATGCACTTCAGCTGGGCTGCTGATTTCACCCTTAACTTGGGCTTTCCGCCCTTGGGCTCCTCTCCAGAGAGCCCCATTTCAATCCCTTCCCCCTTCAAACCTAGTTTAGAGCCCTCCTGATCAGCCCCGCCTACTTATGGGCTAGAGTCCTTTTGGCCTTCCTAGATAGATGAAACCTATCTGATTTGAAGAGACTAGGTACCATGGAATTTGCCACATGGTCAGAAAAACCAAAATTCCACCAGTGGTGGAATGGTCTTCGAACATGTTTGCTTGCTATTTACTCTGCCATATTTCTGAAGTGGTAACAGGGTTAGTTAAAACATAAAACATATGCAAATGAAAATGAATGGTGGAAATGCAGTGAAGTCTCTCATTGTAATTAAACTTATCCAATATTTATACAGTTGGAGATCACAAAAAAATGATAGTTAAATCAATCTGACCTTAATGGTGCTTTTCCCTACACTACAGAACAAATCAAAAAACCCAAAGTCTTTTGCCATGTCACAAAAAGGCAAAGAAGATTGTGGCTCAAGTTTAGAACAAGACATTTGCCACCTTTCTCAATGTGTTCACATATCAGTATGTCATGGTCTAAGTTATAACCAAGAGTGGCATCTTTTGCTGTAACTCAAAAGCACAATTCAGACTAGATAGGTATACCAGGGGAGACCTTCCAACAGCACTAAAATCTATTCGAGGGTTACAGTTCTTATAGCTAAGTAGAAAGGCTGTATCATATCAGTGTAGCTAACTATTTCCAAACTTGTTCATATCTATCTGTTCACTTGACAGTCATACTACACTATAGTGTAGTACACTGCAGTATATAAGCTCTATAAACACCCAAAAGTGAAATCTTCATTTCTATACCTTTTTGCATCATGTTGTGTTAACCTTATAATGGAGTATCACATTTGTTTACGTTACATTCTTCTCTGTGTTATCCTCAGACTTCTCTCCTCAACCATGAACACGTTGCATGTGTTGTTAACTTGCTGTCTTCTACTCTACACATATTCTTTCTTAACTCCAGAAATTCAACAGAGTTTCATACAGAATTCCTCATGAAATTTTTAGCATTACTTTCCTTTCTTCTCATTAACACAGAAACGTCTCACGTTGGACCTGGCTTTGAAAATTCTCTTGGTTCCACTGTGCATGTGGGTCCAGTTTACTGGGTTATCTAATTTTTTAAAAATTTATTTTATGCATTCCAAGTGTTAAAGTTTGTATTTTTGCCTGTCTAACTACTTGTTTACATTTGGTTTACATAGATTACTAATTTTTTTCCTTACGTTATGGGAAGATGTATGTTACGATCATGACAAAAAAGCTCGAACCCTGTATCATCAAACAAATTATTTGGATCAGGATTTTTAAAACTGATTAGAAGCATGCATTTTCTAAACGTTCTGGTGCTCAATTTAGAATATCAACAAAGGAATTTGCACTAGTAGAAGGTCAATTACGCCTTTCTGAGCAAAGTAGACTATTCAAGAAAGCTGAAATTACATATCCAAAGTGGAGATATCCATAGTTCCCTTTTTTATTCTGATGCCTAGTGATAAATTATAACAAGAAGCTTCCTTTTTTGAAAATGACATAGTAAACCATTCACGGTATAAATTCTGCAAAAAATGGTGTTAATTTTATACTTTTACATAGATACCATAGGAGAATCCAAACAGAATCCTAAAACAGACATACATGTACTATTTTCCATAGTTTATATTAGACTGTCCAAGCTGAGCATATCTTCACAAGTCAGCTCTGCTAAAAACAAGCAAACAAAAATTGCATACATAGATACATTAGCACACTAAAGATAGTTTCTCTTGTGATAAAATAACTGGAAGAAAAGTCTTACACTGTAAAAGTAATCCAGACACTGGAAGAATTAATTGCTAAAGAACCCTTTGATACTGTTTACTTATTTCTCAGTAGTACATCATAGGTGGTTCTAACTTGGACTTGTTCTGTTTGTGTTTCAGCTGTCATATTTCACAAATAAAAGGTGGCAATATTTTTCTAATATTTTTCTAAAACATACTAGTATCTACAGCAACTGACATTACAAAGTTGATGTACTAATGGTTACCATTTATTCCATGAAAGTGCATGTCATTGTTCAGGAATGGTATTCCCCAATTTAGTGCTCCCAAGGAAACTCCAAACTACACACTCCTGCAGCTGGAGAGAAGAATTATACAAAAAAAGAGAAAAATAAGAATTAAATTTTATGTACAGAAGGTTGCAACATCTAGAGATAAATTCCTTGAACATTCACTGTTAGATGTACCCATTAGTAGGTTTTATTGCAAAATTTGTAAAGGGGTCTGAACCCTAATCCTAAACATAATTCATAGAATCACAGAATACTCTGAGTTCAAAGGATCATCAGATCCAACTTGTAAGTGAATGGCCCCTATGGGGATCAAACCTAGAACCTTGACATTATTAGCACTGTGCTCTAATCAACTATCTAGTCTCGGGGTCTGAGGTTCCTGAAATAATTATTTTAAACTGTTCAATCTTGAATATTAAACAAAGCTAAAGCTGCGTGGTTTTCCTTTCCCTCCATGTAACATAATATTGTAACACAACAATGGGCCATTTTTTCAGTTTAAAATAACTAAATAATTAAAATAATCTTCAGCACTCTTGCATTAATGATGCCCTCTCCTCAACAACTGTTCTATACCTACAGATTTAAGTACAATGTACTGAACTTGAAGACAGGTATGGAGAGCAGAATAAAACCCCCATAACCCAAGTGGAAATGGTCAGCAGCCTGTTACACCACTTAGACATATACGAGTCTATGGGGTCAGATGGGATCCATGCAAGGGCACTGAGGAAACTGTCAGAAGACTTCACCAAACCACTTTCAATCGTTTACCAGCAGTATTGGCAAACCGGGGAGGTCTCCATTGACTGGAAGTTTACCAGTGTGATGTCCATCCACAAGAAAGGTCAGAAGGATGATCCAGGGAACTACAGGCCTGTCAGCCTGACCTTGGTGCCAGGGAAGGTTATAGAGTGGATCATTTTGAGTGCCATTACATGACATGTACAGAACAACCAGGGTGTCAGGTCTAGACAGCAGGTCCTGCTTGACCAAGCTGATCTTCTTCTATGACAAGACGTCCCACTTACAGATGAGGGAAAGGCTGTGGATGTTGTCTATCTAGACAGATGCTTTAGTAAAGCATTTGACACAGTCTCCCCCAGCATTCTCCTGGAGAAACTGGCTGCTCATGACTTTGATAGGTACATTGTTCACTGGGTAAAAAACTGGATGGATGGCCATGCCCAGAGAGTGGTAGTGAATGGAGTTGAATCCAACTGGCAGCCAGTCACAAATGGTGTTCCCCAGGACTCAGTATTGGAGCCAGACCTGTTTAATAGCTTTATCGGTGATCTGGATGAGAGGACTGACTGCAGCCTCAGTCAGTTTGCAGACAACAACTAGTTGGGCAGGACTGTTGATACACTTGAGAGCAGGAAGGCTCTACAGAGGGATTTGGACAGGCTGGATCCATGGGCCAAGGCCAATTGTATGAGGGTCAACAAGGCCAAGTGCTGGGTCTTCCACTTGCCTCACAACAACCTCTTGCAGCACTACAGACTTGGGACAGAGCGGCTGGAAACTGCCTGGCTGGAAAAGACGTGAGGATGTTGGTCAGCAGGCAGCTGAATGCAAGCCAGCAGTGTGCCCAGGTGGCCAAGAGGGCCAATGGCATCCTGGCCTGTATCAGAAACAGAGTGGCCAGCAGGACCAGGGAAGTGATTGTCCCTCTGTAATCGTCCCTGGTGTTGCTGCACCTTCAGTCCTGTGTTCAGTTTTGAGCCCTTCACTACAAGAAACATATTGAGGTGCTCAAGTTGTCCAGAGAAGCCAACAAAGTTGATGAAGGGTCTGGAGCACAAGTCTGATGAGGAGCAGCTGAGAGTGTCTAGCCTGGACAAAAGGAGCCTCAGAGGGACTTATCACTCTCTACAACTATCTGGAAGGAAGTTGTAGTGAGGAGGATGTCAGTCTCTTCTCCCAATAACAAGCCACAAAACAAGAGGAAATGGCATCACGTTGCACCAGGGGAGATTTAGACTGTATATTAGTAAAAATCCCTTCACAGAAAGGGTTATCAAGCATTGGAACAGGCTGCCCAGTGAACTGGTTGGGTCACTATCTCTGAAGATATTTAAAAGATGTGTAGATGTAGTGTTTAGGGTCATGGTTTAGTGGTGGAATTGACAATGTTCGATTAATGGTTAGATGTGAGGGTATTAGAGGTCTTTTCCAATATAAATTATTCTATGACTCTATAACCACTCTGAAAGTCATGGAAATAGCATCAAAACCATTAGAATGAGTTTATAAAAACCTACATGCTTAAATATACACACCTTTCAAGCAGTCTTGAAACAAAATTTGTGGTAGACAAACCTTAAAAAGTAGTAGTTCAACTCAGTAGTCAGAATTTGTCCCAACTGACTTTCTACAAAAACTAGAAAAAAGTAATAGAAAAATAAACTTTGGATAACATACAAGTAAAACACACATATTTTTGCTTTCTTCACACATTTTCTCTACCAGCTCCATATGTCAATAAGGTGCAATGGCACTGAAAAAAATTATAAATGTGTAAGTTTTTGGCTCTCAGGAAAGAATTTTGTTCAATGATTGCGGAAATTTTGGCCTGTGTCTCCTCTTATTTGAAACAAGAGGTACCTCTTTAGTCACATTTCTACAACACTATGTTCATGTCATAATAACAACTTGATATCTCTGTCATCTAGATACTTATTTCAAGGAGAACTACATACTGTTCTCTGTTCTAAGGCCAGCAGAATAATTCCGAAATAAATATTTATTTGTTCTAATATTCCACTGATACAAAAAGTACAGCCATAGCTTGACAGTAACTTTGTAAAAGTAACTATTTATTTTCAAAGTACCTTCAAAAGAGAGTTTATTTAATGTAAATTTTTTTCTTTAACTATGCAAATATTAAGCGATCAGCTTTTCTCTGAAGTCTTAACAGCATCATAGTCAATAAATGCAAAGGCT